TCTGATAACTATTGAGAGAAAATAACACATACGTGCTTACGAGGAGATTCCATTTAAAGGCTATATTAGTTTTTCTATAAATCATTGTTATTTGATAAGTTTTGATGATCATTAAAAAAATCTACTGTACCCATTTCATCTACATCTATATTTTCATGTGCTTAAATTTAAGTATGAAAACTATGAATACAATGGAATTTGTAGGTATAATATCAAAATCAAATTGTAAGCTTTCTTAAATTTTGCACACACAACTCAGCTGAAAGATCTACTTGTTATCAACATTATTTTAAATTTTATAACTGTATAATAGAATGCATTCTTTGTTTGAGCTAGTTAGCTAATCACCATTTCAAAAAATATAAGTATACCTATCAAAGGGACTAACGTAACAGAAACATAAGAAGATCTTTGCCAAGTATATATACATAAGAAGAAAAAGGCAATTTACAAGGAAGGTTGTATAACTTGACAGACCTTTCTGTAGGAATTCAGAAAATGGAAACACTTTTTTTTTTTTTTACAAAGTCAGTTTAAATCTAAATTGGCTTCATTCTCAATTTTGAGTTATATCTTACTTTTATAATATCTTATTCTCATATTTGAGTATCAGGTCAGACTTTTGGGCATTCTGTCAGTAAGATCTTACTCTTTAAACAACCATTCTCCTTCTTCACCAACAGTATCTACTTTGTGTCCTTGATTCTGAGTGTTCTTTATCATGTAGAGATTACTCACTGTCATATAAATCCCCCCCCCTTTCTTCCCATATAAATACTTTTTCTTCTTTGGGGTTTTCAAAGTTTATGAATTCAGGCATATGGAAAGACAAGTGACTACTTACCTCTTGTCCTCAAATCCCATCTTTAAATCGCATTCATAATAGTATGTTTTATCTAAGACACCACCACTAGCAACTTTCAAAGCCTCTGCATCTCTTCCCCAGAGTCTACCTTCCCGTTTCCACTGTTCTGTGTTCAGTCTGGCCCACTCTTGATCCATCAGACATCTGCATATGATAGAACATGCCTACAGACTTCTCCTTTAAGTTTTCTCCCATCTGGAACAGCTTTTTCTACTTCATCCACTGTGCTGCTCCAAATCTTGTGGGAATATGTTCTAAAATTGCTTTTCTTCTTTAATCTTTGTAATTGTACTGTTAACTCATGCATGTTGTTAAAAAAATAAATAAGTCCATGAAGATGTGTATTTTTTGTGTAAACCAAGACTTACATATAAAATATGTAAGCTACTAGGATTATTTAATTTGGAGGAAAATTATTTGAATGGAAATTTTTTGAATGGTGAATTACTAATAACATTCAAATAAGGAATTATACAATTGTTGGTAAACAACTAATTTTTGTTACATATTAAAAGGAATTGTGCTCTAACATAAGTAAAAAGGTTTTTCAGTGAGATACAGGGAGGCGATATAAATTGTTAAATTATGGATTGGTTTATTAAAGCTGGTTATCTTTTTCTTTCTGGAGTAGCCAAAGAGTATATCTGCTCATATGTTTCAAATTTGATATACATCCAAGCTTTGTGAAGGAAGAATGTCTGTGTAGAGAGAAAGTCAAACAGACATGGACAGAAACATACAGTATCAGGGAGCAAGCCAGGAGGAGGAGTGGGGTGTGTTAAATAAGACTCTATTGATAGTTGTGTGTTGTTGTTAGGGCAGATGAGTATTAAAAAAGAAGGTATTTTCTGAAGAAGAATGCTTTCTACTTTTCCATTTCTACACTTTATAGGATGAAGCTTTTGCTATAAAATAAAAGCACAACATCAAAATAAACACAAGACTTAATATATAATTTCAAAAGTTGTGTTTGCAGAATCTTTTTGGAGTTATGTATTATTTCATCATCCTACTGGAGACAAACCAAATTTCATAAAGGTAGTGGGATCTTTTCATTTATAAATATCATCCCATCTTGTTCTAGGAAGGACTTAAATGGCAACATTTGATTATTTCATTAGAATAATAGCTTATCATGATCAAGACAAACTTTTTAAGTGTTTATCTTGTTTCATGTGATGCCAAATGAATTTTACAGAAACTGACATTTCAAGAAAAGTTCATAATTCTCCGAAACAGAGCGTATTAGATAAATACATTTGTTGTTAGCTTTTCAAACTTTTACTATTTTTGTTAGCCTTCTAATATAAAAGGCATGGAAATCTTTTTAAGTTGGCATTTTATTTTTGAAGTCCATGAAAAAGTTAAAATAATCAACAAAAAGGGATATAGATGGAATCTGAGCTATCCTCACATGCAAAAGAGTTAATACTGGAAGAAGAAGTGCAAGGTCCATGGCCTTGGGAACTAAAGTATAGGACTTCAAGGTCAGACTTTCTTTCTATCTGCTATGTACAGACTTTCTGCATACATATGCACAATAAGTGACTTAATGTAAACCTTATAGTTAATTGATGATGCCAGAATCCAGAAATGTGTTTCATGTTTAAAGAAATTAAAAAATTATAAGGGAGTATTATGTTACATTTGAAGAACTTAGAAAAATCCAATTTAACATCTACTGTTAAAAACAAATAGTTTATTTGGTTGTAAAAAAGTTTTAATTTTTAGCTAGTAACCTGTATTTTCTTGTAACAGACTGATGGTAATAAATTAATTCAAAGACAAGCTTACAAATGTCTTCAAATTAGGTATTTGAAAAAGAAACCATAAACATTGTCCAAGGTTAGTCAAAATGACAAGAGCATCATTTCCAGAAAACTTAGAAGGGAAATTTTCCTTAACAATTTTTTAGGAGCTAAGTACTGGTAGCAAGCTTAGGAAAAGTTTTCGTGGCTTCTAAATGAAAAGCATACATGAGATAATCATACTAGCTTTCCATGTTTACATAACACTCGCAAGACATATATGGAAAACTTTACCCAGAGTAATTTTATATTCCATGCCATAATTTGGTTTATTTTCCTTTGCAAGGATAAAACATCTATTAGTAAGAATCAGACTAATACAAATATTTCAAAACCACAAGATTATGACTATAATTTTTAGTTCCTAAAATCTGTTTGTAAGAACATCATGATGATATAAAAGATCACAATTATTCGAAGAATATAAGACTTTTTAAAAAGTTAAAATAGAAAGCATCAGTCATGGAAATAAATAGAATTGCAAAAAGGCATATTAAATGTCTGTCTTTTCAAAGCTAACTATCTAGAAGCAAGCCACTTACCTACAATAGACAGAATGGAATTCATGTCTATAAAAATGCAAATATTTTCAATATTTGAAGGATAGCCATTTCAATAAATACAGTAGCTCTGATAACCAGGCTGCAGTAGGACGAGTCATGGTAACTTCTCTTTTTTATTCGATTAAGATTGTCCTAAAAGGCAATTTTTACATCCTATCATTCCAAAGAGGTTGAGGCTTTTTTTCTTCTTCCTCACATGTAGGATGATTTCTGGATATTTAGTATAGGGCATCACACCGGTTCAGTCTTGCAGTGCAACACAAGGCAGTTGCAGCAAGTATTTCCCACTAGTAATGTAGGAGCTAGGAGGGAACAAGGCTTGAGGAAACAATCTAGAAAACCATAACACAGCTTGTTGGTCCTTTACCCACAAATAACCTTTTTAGACCAGATACATAAAACGCAGTTTATTATCTAAAATTTTAAAGGGGAATCTTTTGTTAAATGTTAACAAAGAACGACTATCCTAATTCCCTTTAAAATGCAACCCTTAAAAAAATCAACTATCAAGTCTTTTTGAAAAGTGCTTAAATCATCTGGAGATAAAAATCACTTGGTGTCCTTGTTTTCTAACAAATGGCTTTTTCCATTGTTTCCATTAATTTCACCCATATTCGTTTTTTAAAAAACAAGGCCCTTACCCTCATCAGCAAAACACAGATGTATGATTTAGCATATAAAACCGGTAATTACCTACTAATTTACGAAAGATTAATTTTTTCTCTTTTCGTCAGTTTTCAAGAAGTCTTCCCGTGATTAACTGTAAACAGGAATGGTTTACACCTCAAATTAGAAGCCATTAATTAGCATGACGAAGTCAAATGCAAGATACACAGATAATTTAAATTATTTAATCACTAATCACCTTGGTTAAACTGTAGTATACTCTTTCAATATCCTTCGGTAGGGTATTGATCTGTCAGTAAATTACCTCCCGATCAGTTAGAGATAAATATTAGCGTTCTTTCCTTTCTCTCAGCTTTACATTATTCCTTCTTGTAAATACTTAAAAAACCTTTAAGGTTCTTTAATCCCAAGTCGCTAATTAGCCATCACTAGCCTTTTTGTAACCAGGAAAAAGAGTATCTGAAGTACAGATCAGGAGTTCGCTTTGCCCGTAAACAATAAAATAAATTAAAATAAAACATCTTTAAAATGTAAAATGCTTAAGGCAACGGCAATAATAAAAGATATACGCAGAGGTGGCTTCGGCAAATAACGGGCTTGCAAACGCCAAGTGCTTAACAAAAAAAGCCGAACCTCTATTGCAATATACAGCACTCCAATAAATTACACAACACTTTGCATAGGCTGCAGAAATAACGCAGGACAAGACTTACACAGATGCCAATCCGCAGCATTTATACACATGCACATGGCAAGAGACAGAAACCAAACACTATCATTCAACTCGGGCCGGGGAGCGCGATCCCGAGTTTGCCCAGCGCGAGAGGGCTCTCTGCGTGTGTGTCTGTGTGCGCGCGTGAGAGTGAGACCCATCCTCGGGGCATTTCCCCTCTTTGGGCAGTTTTGCTTCATTTGTTTCCCATTTCTGCTACATAGAAACTAACTTCCATCTCAGCCCCAGCCAGCGCCACTGAATAGAGCCTGTGCTGCGGCTTCGTGTGCGTCAGATCCCTCCGCGGAGCCGTCCCCGGCCCCCTCCCTCCCGCGGTCGGCCTCCACAGAGAAAGCGCCTTTCAGCCAACCGGCGGATCCGACTCCGACATCTTCTCCGACTGGAAATAAATAAATAAATCGCACCTTTGGCCGGGGAGGAAAGGGCAGGGGTCTCGTCACACTGGGCGCGGGGGCGCTGGGCGCGGGGCCGGAGGCACTCTTTTTTGCGCCGGGGGGCGGGGGCGCGGGCCGAGGACCGGGCCAAGCCCGGGCCGCGAAGGCGGCGGACTCCTTTCTGCGGCGGAGGGATCCGCGGCGGAGGCGGCGGCGGCCGTAGCCGCTGCCTGAGAGTTGTTGTTTCCTCCTCCTCCTCCTCCGCCTCCGCCGCCGTTGCTTGAATGGTGGAGCCGAGGCTGGGCTCGTGAACACACACTGACAGCTATAGGGCAGGCGGCGGCACCATCCCCGCTTCCCCTCGGCGGCGGGGTGTCCCGCCGGCGGCCCTGAAGTGACCCATAAACATGTCTTGTGAGAGGAAAGGCCTCTCGGAGCTGCGATCGGGTAAGTCGGGGGGCTGCTGGGGCCGCTGGCACCGGGCGATTCCGCCCGCGGTCCCCCGCCCCCCGCCGCCCGGCCGCTAAGCCTGTGTGTCTCCCCGTCCCCCTCTCCCGCGCAGAGCTCTACTTCCTCATCGCCCGGTTCCTGGAAGATGGACCCTGTCAGCAGGCGGCTCAGGTACGGCGGCGCGCGGCGCGCGGCGCGGGCCGAGCCGGCGCTCGCCGCTCGCGGGCGTGGGGGAGGGCGGCGGCTGGAAACACAGCTCTGCGCGGGAGAGGGGGACGGGGAGACACACAGGCTTAGCGGC